GAAGAATGTGGTGTATTTATTAAGACATCAGATGCTGCAGCTGATTACTACATCGTGCATGGTAGGTAGTTATCAATCTAAAATAATACCCGGAAACAGGAATACTTATATAGGATATTCTAATTTAGAAAGTCAGTGAAACAAGAAAAGCTTTCACTGAACAATAACACTAAACATTTTGGATAGCATCCTTAATTTTGTTTGCACAAGACATCCATGAAACCACCTCTGTATGAAGCAAACATAGTGACTTTTCAGCTCATTAGATCAATCCAGGCAGTTCATGCAATGTTGCTGCATACCTCTCCAGCCCATCCAACCCTCTCCTCCATTTTCCTAGGTCTTTGTCTTTTCCGTGCTACTCCCATCCAGAACAGTTCTGTCAGAAAATCTATGTCTGGACCAACATATGCTTCAGCATGCACATGGACCAGTAATTACTGGCTGAAGCACGCACTTAATGCTTTGCACATTCCATATTTCATACACCATTTCTCTTGCTAAGCAAATATTGATCAAGATATTAAAAAGTTCTGATGCCTGACCTCTGTTGCAGAGAAAAGGAAAAGTGTTGACGTCAACCAAAATGGAGCAAAGCGCCAGAAGTTAGAAAGTAATGCTGAGCATCCTGCTTTTTATTATAATGTCCACAGGCACAGCATTAAAGGAATGAACATGCCAAAGTAAGTGCAATTTTAAAACATCTCAGTGGTGTAAATGTTAATGAATACGGAAACTCGGGTCCTAGACTCTCTCATTGGGTATCTTGGAGCCAGTCATATTCTCTGCTACCTGTCAGGGTTGGAATTGTGGGAAAAATAGGAAGAACAAGCGTTAAAGGCCTTATGCCTATACTTTTTTCCCCAGGTTAAATAAATTCTTGCAGTCTCTGTTTGAAGCTGGATATCGTGTAAGCCGAACTCATTTTGACCCCATGGGTGTCCGCACCAGTGCCCCCTTGCTGCAGTTTAAATCCATCCTTGTAAAGTACAGCCTTCCAACATATACAGGAGGACAAGCAGATGGCTCTTTGCAGGCAATTGAGGATGTCCAAGCAGGAACCGAAGGTGACTTCGCAGAAGAGAGCATTTGAAAGGGTTCTTCTGGGACCTGCTATCTTTTATTGAAGATTTATGTTGAGAGCACCTACTGAGCCCTATATCTCAATTTTTGTGACTGTTTGACTATTTTAACATTTCCATTTTTTTCAAGAAAAAGTGATGAGGAATCACAAATGTACAGTTAATTTCCCAGCTCAGCAGGAAACTTTCATGTAATGCTTGTGTTTAAGCTTGATAAACATTGTTTTTTCTGACTTGCAATTCTTTGTTCGGGTGTATATTTTTAAGATGTGGAATTGAAAGACGTTAAAAATGTGTGTAAGCACAGCTAGTACCTACCAATAAAGTGTTTTCATTTGTTTTCAGTGTCAAGTCATTAGTGGCTTTCAAATATGATTTGGAGGGATAAGAGGGAGGTTGGCGAGCCTGACCTAGGGATTATATTAAGAATCTAGGTCCTGCTACCAATTACTTTCTGTAGTTAAAAATATCAGAATTCTGAATTTTAATATTTTTATTGCTTGTAAAATACCCATTACTCATATACTGTCGTTTCTAAACAATTTGGATAAAATTCAAAATGGATTCTTAATTTCTTCCCCTCCCCAATGTACACATATTTGCTTCTGAAGCTTGTACTCCATGACTAAAATATGGTCCTTGACGTTAGATGTAATTCAGGGTCAAATATTCTGACAGTCTGTATTAGTATTTTTAATATAAAAGTGTACCCTTAAAACCCTATATATCTTCCTGGAATTCAGTTATCTTCCTTGGATAGTTGTATAATGAAAAAAAATCAGAAGGAATCATAGTAAGGTTTGTTTTTCCAGTGTTCACAATGAATTGATTAGCTAGAGGGCCATAGGACGGAGCTAAACAAAGAGGGAAAACTAAACTTCTACTGCTATGTGTGTTCTCCTGTCATAATTACATTTTTTAAAAGAAAAAAAACCTGGGAAACTTGGCTTAAAAATCCCAAGCTTAAACTTTTAGGGAAAGATAAAAGAAGATACATTACTTGACTTAAAATCCCAAAAGGAGAGATTACTAAAAAGTTTAAGGCCTTTATGGGAAGAGAGAATTATCATTTCCTCCCAACAATAAATATATCTACCTAGCGTTGAAATGGATTGCTGATCAGAACTGTAACCTACCCTAATAGGTTGGTAGCCACTATATGTAGGTGAAACTCGAAAAATTAGAATATTGTGCAAAAGTTCATTTATTTCAGTAATGCAACTTAAAAGGTGAACCTAATATATGAGATAGACTCATTACATGCAAAGCAGGATAGTTCAAGCTGTGATTTGTCATAATTGAGATTATGGTTTACAGCTCATGAAAATCCCAAATCCACAATCTCAGAAAATTAGAATATTGTAAAAAGATTCAATATTCTAGGCTCAAAGTGTCCCACTCTAATCAGCTAATTAAGCCATAACACCTGCAAAGGGTTCCTGAGCATTTAAATGGTCTGTCTGGTTCAGTAGGAATCACAATCATGGGAAAGACTGCTGACCTGACAGTTGTGCAGAAAACCATCATTGACACCCTCCATAAGGAGGAAAGGCCTCAAAAGGTAATTGCAAAAGAAGTTGGATGTTCCCAAAGTGCTGTATCAAAGCATATTAATAGAAAGTTATGTGGAAGGGAAAAGTGTGGAAGAAAAAGGTGCACAAGCAGCAGGGATGACTGCAGCCTGGAGAGGATTGTCAGGAAAAGGCCATTCAAAGGTGTTGGGAACTTTCACAAGGAGTGGACTGAAGCAGGAGTCAGTGCATCAAGAGCCACCACACACAGACGGATCCTGGACATGAGCTTCAAATGTCGTATTCCTCTTGTCAAGCCACTCCTGAACAACAATGTCAGAAGTGTCTTATCTAGGCTGAAGAAAAACAGACCTGGTCTGTTGCTCAGTGGTCCAAAGTCCTCTTTTCTGATGAGAGCAACTTTTGCATCTCATTTGGAAACCAAAGACCCAGAGTCTGGAGGAAGAATGGAGAGGCACACATTGCAAGATGCTTGAAGTCCAGTGTGAAGTTTCCACAGTCTGTGTTGATTTGGGGAGCCATGTCATCTGCTGGTGTTGATCCACTGTGCTTCATTAAGTCCAGGGTCAATGCAGCCGTCTACTAGGAGATTTTGGAGCACTTCATGCTTCCTTCCGCAGACGAGCTTTATGGGGATGCTGACTTCATTTTCCAGCAGGACTTGGCACCTGCCCACACTGCCAAAAGCACCAAAACCTGATTCAATGACCGTGGAATTACTATGCTTGATTGGCCAGCAAACTCGCCTGACCTGAACCCCATAGAGAATCTATGGGGCATTGCCAAGGGAAAGATGAGAGACATGAGACCGAACAGAAGAGCTGAAGGCTGCTATTGAAGCATCCTGGTCTTCCGTAACACTCAGCAGTGTCACAGGCTGATAGCTTTCATGCCATGCCGCACTGAGGCAGTAATTGCTGCAAAAGGGGCCCAAACCAAGTGCTGAGTACATATGCATGCTTATACTTTTCAGAGGTCCAATATTGTTCTATGTACAATCCTTGTTTTATTGATTGCATGTAATATTCTAATTTTCTGAGATTGTGGATTTGGGGTTCTCATGAGCTGTAAGCTATAATCATCACAATTATGACAAATCATGGCTTGAACTATCTTGCTTTGCATATTAGTTTCACCATTTAAATTGCATTGCTGAAATAAATGAACTTTTGCACAATATTCTAATTTTTTGAGTTTCACCTGTATAAGCATGCTGGCTATTAAACAGGATTTCTTAAATTGATGAACTGTTTAAAAAATTATGTTAAGAAAATCTGAAGCAACCTCTCTGGATTACACTATGATCCCTGCCATAAGTCATCTTATTTTAAAGAAAGCACTAAAGACTTTAAAAAATAGGAATATATTGCAAGATGGGAGAAGGAAAAATCCAAATTTTGTTCATTTAGTGCAGAGACATATCTGCAGTAAAGTTAGCCCATTTGGCTAAAACTACAAACACATCTCCAAAATTATTCCTAATTATTTTTAAGCAGTTCAGAAAGTTCTCAAGTAGGGAAACTACTTGGAAACTATTTTGCCTATTTTTAAATAGGCAAAGAGCACACATCAGAATTGTTTGCATTGCCAGTATCAAGAGGATTGTTGTTGGATAGCTAATTACCAGAGGGTTAAAAGCAATCACTTACGCTTGCACTCATATTCATACAGATACTCAATATGCTAAGGACAGTTAGTTTATACTGTAATGAGGAATCTGTGTTCCTCCAAATCCTACATCTTCACAGGAAAAAGAATCAGCTGCTTTGGTCAGTATGTAGAATGTTGAATGATTCCAATGATCCAAGATATCTCCCTTTACTTCTTCTACTATTGCTCAGATAGGGAATCTCAAAAGACAATAGTCTTCTGTAGAACTTGTTTCACCATATACTACAGTAAAGAAAAGCTATTATAGAGAAAACAGTGAGATCTGTTAGGTCTGGGCAGAAAGTTGAGAGGCAATAAATGGACAAGTTGCTTCTTCAGAATTATTCTCACCTCCTTCAGAGCTCATAGTACACATCACATCAGATCTAGTCACAGAGGATGTATATTCCTCCTCTTTGGGATTTCTTATACTGTATATACCCATGAATGATCTCTAAACTTCAGGAATGAGAGATGCAACATTTAAAGACAGGACTGTCACTTTTCCAAAATAGCTTCCTTGTGAAAATGTAGCAGTAAGGCAATGTCTCAAAGCTGCCAAGAGTTGATCCATTAAAAAGTCACAGTGCGATTCATTGATTAAAACAGCTACTTTATATATTTAAGTAAATATAAATACTTATAGAATTCACCATAACAGAAGTTAAAAATTCACATTCTTTCCCACCAACTTGGAAACAATGTACCTTCTGCCCCTAGACAGATAAATCTTTTCAGAATGCTATATTTGATCTGCATCTAGGGCTAAACTATTTCTTGGATAGGTCATAAAGCAAGCTTTTTTTGCACCTGATGTTTGCTTATACAAAACCATTTTTTCACATAAAAAGAAATGTGATTATATTTAGTGGACATACACTAGCAAGCTATATAGTTTGTACATTACACCAAAAATACTGAAACAAAACAGAATAAGCATGATACATCTTCCCCACCCTACTCCCACCCCTACCCCAGCTTGGACTTATTAACTGTCATGGCACAAACTGGTAAAAAGATTCAGGAACTTCTAACATTGAACAGAGTAAAGTTTTTTTTCTTTCTGTATGATCATCAGATCTTTTGAATTAGTAGGCATATGCTCAGTTTCAAATTGCAGTAATTGATTTTTTGACTTTTACACTAGATCATAATTTTTTAGACGAACAACCGGAAGAAGTTGGTAAATATTGACGTTAATCCCTTACAAGTCCACATTTTTCTGTAACATATCTTTTCTTAGCATATTCAAAACTCTCAACTGGGGAACATTTCAGTGAAAAGAAAGGTGTTTTTTTTTTTTTACATCATCAGGCATACTGAAGGATGTCATGGATGATAACTCAATTTACAGAAATTTTGATGCTACGATATGTAACTATAGTTTTGATCCTATCAACATTAAAGATCATTACAATCCACAATGCATTTACTTATACCCACAAGTGCCAAGTATAGTTGACATGGGAAAGTTTAAGAATATCTTCAAAGAAATTTGTCAACATTTGCATCATTGATTACTATTTTTAAGTAGTATCAGTACAAATCAGTACATTTTTTCCCTTTTTTCTGGGAATGTTAATATGATTGTACTATCATCAGCTCTTCAGGAACTGCGATAAATAAAATTCAGAACTTGTTTCAGAAATGTATGCTCATTCTGTAAAGTCTTTTCCCAAAGCTAGTTCTATGTCACTCTTTAAACTGTAATTAAGCAATGCAACATTATTACAGTTAATGCTTTCACAGCTGTAATGTGAAGTTGGAAAGAATAATTTACCTTTAATATGATGACAACAGGAAAAGGAGTAGCTTGCATTCCCATGGACACTGGGAATGAAGACAGTGTTGTATATGGGGTGGCTTTTTTATTTAGAAAGCAGAATGACATTATAGGGCATTGCATAAGAATTCAGGTACTGCTGTGAACAATCTATCTTTTCTTCCAGCTCCAGTTATTTCTTTAGGATCTGAATTAGTTATTTATTAGCAGACCTATTCTTAATCATATATAATTAACAGAATTATCGCATCTCTTGTCCCTCTGTCCCTCTACATCAATGTACTAGTGAGTTTGCCCATCCAAAGCCTTCCAACATTCCACGTTCCAAAGAAATTTTGCTGCCACTAACTTCATGCACACGAACCAAGAGCCACCAAATCAAAAGAACACATATGACAGTAACAATGGAATGTTCTGATCATTCAGTTCTCTAGAAAGAAAAATATAAGTTAAATATCACAAAAAATGCTGTCTAAAGATACTCATTGGGGAATCCAAGTCTATGTGTAGTTGTCCATGATGCAAAGGATGGTACTTCAACTTAAAGCAAAGATATAAAAGCAATTATTGTTCCAACTCAAAGCCTTGTTATAAGGCTTATTTGTGTTCCTTAGTTGGTGCATAGTAGAGCTCCATCGGCTTATTCACTTTCCAGTACTTTTCACTGACCAACTCCAAGGAAAAAGAACCGTTTAATACCTAGAGTGAGAGTCAAAAATAGGGCCAAAGTTAAAAATAGAAAAGTGTTATTGCCATTTGAAAATGAATAATAAAAGAAACACCAATAACTAGAACATTACCAAACACTGACAAATCACAGCTGGTAAAAACAACACTCACTCCTGTCTATGAATAGCCTAATATAAATCAAATATTTCAGTTCCAAGGGAAAAGCAGCTGCAGAGCAAATCAGGTGTTATACTGTAGTATATTTCCATTAAAAAGGCTATAGGTCTTTTAATTTTTTTAATTTTGAAAAGCTTTTATTGAAATTAAAATATTAAAATACCAATATATCTATAAAAAGAAAATAAGTTGGGAACCTATTGAAATGGATAAACATTTGGAATGTATGAATATAGCCAAGATTTGTTTTTGTACTGTCAGAAAACGATGGTGAATTGTACCGGCTATAGGTCTTTCTAAATATGTCTTTCCCATTGCAAAATAGAACCCTGGTACTTTAGTAAGCAAATATGTACGCTTGAAATTTCTGCATTCTACCATCAAGGTAATAAAGCTACTTTGTTCAAAGTACAGCAATGTCAAAAGCCACTCCAGCTTTGCAAACTGAAATTAAGAAATATTATACCAATTCTGGGCTTTGAACCAATGGTGGGTGCAAATTTTTTAAGAACCAGTTCTCTGGCCGGGTAAGCGTGGCTGGTTGGTCATGTGACTGGGTGGGTGATCACACTCAGCCCTGCCTCCCATCCACTTGCCTCAAAGGAAGAGGTATTTTTGGCCTGTTTTCAGGCCATTTTGGGTCTGAAAAACCACATGAAAAACAGTCCCAAAACAGGCCATTTTCGGGGCATTTTTGGCCCCCAAAATAGCTGAAAAGAGCCCCAAATACAGCCCATAAACAGTCTGGAAACAGCCCCCAAACCATGCCAAATAACAGCCAGGGGCGAGGCTAGCCAGTGGTGGGATTTGCCGGTTCACCAAACCATCTAATCTTAACTACCGGTCCAAACCGACAAAAGCCCACCTTTGCTTTGAATACTGAATATGATAGAAGAATGAACATCTTTAGATCTTCAACCATTTAACATTTTGAAAAAAGCTATCAAAATTTAAATATTGGGGTTTAAAGTAATAACAAACAAAAGCTTTTAGATGTCTGCATTTTTGTCCAATATCTTTCATGTTGATACCTTCTTCAAGAACACTTTGTCAATCACAGTGAGAAAATATTTACATTTCCCCATCAAATACATTAGCAATACCAGGGGACATAATCCTTATTTCTTGTTAAAAGCGTGGAATAAAATCACAGTAACACAACTGCCTGCTGTAGGAGTCAGTAAGTAGAACATGACAACCGCAATTAATATCAGTATCATGAGCTCAGGTACAGAGGTATACAGGGCATTTAACACATATTTGAAGTTACAAGAAACCCCTTCTCCAGAAACTACATTCAAAGTTATGATGGGGCAATGTCCCTGTGGTCATTCACCCTTACATGGCAGCACTCCGTCTCCCCCCACTCCAACCCCACCAGAACCCTGCAGCACTTGGGCCTGCTCCCACACACCCATCATGCACCATACTCTCCAGATCTCATGTGGAAGGCAGACCATGTATCCCCAGGATGTATGGCAGTGATCCAAATGTGGCTGCCATTATGTCCCATCCACTTATGGTAATTATAATTACAAGTGGGCAGGACATAATTATGCATATATTATTGCATCTAGGACAGATTTAATAACACCCTGTTTATTCAAACATCTAAACAGACAGAACTCTAACTGCAGGCCTACTCCCAAAATTACTTGACACTAACAATGCACAAGTTTATTCAGAGTATCAAATAGCCTTTTTCAACTTTACTAGATCAAGACCAGATGGTTAAATTTAATTTAGACCATATACATTTAAATTTACACTAGAAGCCTCAAATCCTTTAACATTGATACAATGGAAGGCTAGGTCTGATTTGGTTCTTTTTAAGGGTCACTGTAATTTATTTTAAGTACACAGTTCAGTAACAAATAAATATATAAGACAGCTAGATTCCCTACAATATCCTTTTTATTATATGCTCCCACAATTTGTGAGCTTCACTAATTGAACACTAATTCTGAAAAAATAAACATGTAGTAGGTCAGTCAGTAGGGAGCTGCAGCCAATAAAGTATGCAGACTCTTTTTTAGGCATTGTAAAAACACCAGTAAGTTCCCACTGATTTCCGAGATGTTGGATATATAGCACACTATATATTTAAATCATATCCAAAATAAAAAGACCTTTTATCATTCTTATACATCATATAAGAGATCAAAATCCCAGATAGACAAATAGAAGTTTACTAGTGTGTTCACTTAGCATGTTTATATGCATTTCCATAGGTTAGCCACGTTAGTAAGAATTTTATGGCATCTTAAAGACTAATCAATTTATTATAATAATCACATAAACTTATGTATAGTCCACTTCATCAAATGCGTGGTGTCTAGACAATAAACAGCTGTTGTAGGGTGGAAGGAGAAGAAGGAATAATGAGAAGAGAATGGAGAGGCAAGAGAATGACTATTAACAAAGCAGTAGCTAAATGAGACACAATCTTGCACTGATAAACTAGTGTATACTTATATTATAAGAAATCTCAGTTTATTCTGAGTGTATTGGTATTAAATATTTTGGTTCAACTGGTACAGGATAAAATGTGTCTTTAAAATTGTTCTATTCAAGAATAACCACCTTAGGCAGAGTACAAGAGTGTTTTCAGAGTCTGAAATAATCCCATTGCCATTTTTAGTATTAATGTACCAGTGAATTTACATGCCTCCCCTCTTTAAAAAAAAAACCTCCCAAATGTTTCTGCTTTATTAATGGTCAACATATGTCACCATTCTTCATCTCCTTTCTTCCCCTACCTGACAAGACTATATATTTTGCCTTTTTGTCAGGACTATACTCCCTTCTTCTATGAAAACAGGACTGTTTTCTACAAAGGCTTATGAGATAATAAATGGTGAGGCTTTAATGAACAACAAAGCCCTTGGTTGTTTGCATTATGTTTTTGGAAATATTCCTTTCTACATGTTTATCTTTCATGATAGGGGATAAATAATTCTGCTAGAATTGTATAAGAAAGTGAAAAGGCTCAGAAACAAATGAACAATGATCTAAAACTAGATTTTCCTCACCTCTTTTTAGCAATATATGCACACATTTGCTTTTTTCCCCTCTTAGTTCACATTGTAATACGTGCATAAATAGCTGTGTTACCACAAGTGAAATTAAACAGAAAAAAAATCACTTTCAGAAATTTTCCACATAGAGGGTTAAACCTAGGTATATAGATCATACCTTTTAGACAAATGGTCAACACCACACATCCTGACAGCATAACTTATTTGCTCTGCCTCTGTATGTTTAGCCCTGGGCATAATGACATTCTAAATAGAATTCAAATTTATTTTGAAACAATGCCTTTTCCCAACTGCATTTTTGCTCAAACATTTTACTCACTGTGAATTGGCCATTAGCTGTAGCAATATAAATTGTGTATTGCTTCTCACTGGCTGTTTCAAGATTCATCTGATTAGATTCTCCTTTGCTCCGAAGTTCTTCTAAGGCTAGCCTCACAGCTAGGTACTTGGACAAGTGATCAACAGTGGCATTGCCTGAAGTCTTAATGTACCTGTACAAAAGCAAAGATGGTTTATGTACCTATAGATTACAAGAAGACTGACAGATATGAAAAGGCTTGCAAAGAAAACAATCCCACAAATATATAAAAGCAATCCAATATTTTCTATTGTTTATTCTACATGAGGTCATACAGAGACTATAATATTCAACAAGATTCATCTACTACCATATTCAGTATTCCTTCTAAAATAAAAATAAACCACTGCTTACCTTGTCTGTGCACTGTCATCATTTTCCATAAGCGTAGGATGGGGTCTAAAAACTAATTCTATTTCACTTGCACCATCCAATACTGGGTCTATGGCAACTGTTGTATTGTTATTGTCCAGTTCAAGCCCAGAATCATCAGAGGTTTTGGTCCTTTTGTTACTTGGTCCAGCCTCCTGATTACTGTGGGTTGAAGCATTACTACAATGCGAACTATCACCATTGTCTTCTGCTCCGCTGCCATTCTCTATTTGTTGCTTCTTTCCTCTTTGTAACCTAGTACAATCAAGAAACAAGTTCTTCATTTTCAGAGTCTTTGTGTCAACTAGCAAATTTTATCCCATCCATTCTATGATTATTTTTTCATTAAATACACATATCCAATATACAACCCATCACCTATTATTTAGTCTATATAATAGCACTTAGCAATAACACTTAGACTTATATACCGCTTTATAGTGCTTTACAGTCCTCTCAAAGCGGTTTACAGAATCAGCATATTGCTCCTCAAAATTGGGTCCTCATTTTACCCACCTCGGAAGGATGGAAGGCTGAGTCAACCTTGAGCCTGGTGGGATTCGATCTGCCAAATTGCAATGGGAGTAGCTTGCAGTACTGCACTCTAACCACTGCGCCACCAAGGCATATATACTATTCAGATAGTTAATATAGTATTTTGTGTGTGTGTGTGTGTGTGTGTGTGTGTGTGTGTGTGTGTGTGTGTAATAGTACATTATATATTGTTGAAATATATATATATATATATATATTGCCATCGAAATAGAGAAACACCCCCATAACATGAATAAACAGGACGATGCCTCCTGCCTATCAGACATCTGGAAACTAGCCCTTATCAACAAACGAGTCCCAGCCACGAAAACCAACACTGGACTCAAAACAACACATCACACCACCACCATTCTCCCTCACCAGACTCAAACCCACACCCATCCCATAGACCAAGCTTGTCCAACCCGCGGCCCGTGGGCCGCATGCGGTCCAGGTCGCCTCGTAATGCAGCCCAGTGCCCACCCCAACCTTCGTGCCAGAGCCAGCGAGGAGAAGGAGAGGCAGGCGCGAGGCGGGGCAAGGCGAGCGCCAGGCCAAGCAGCAACAGAAAAGGTGGGCGCCGTCAGAGCGCCACCTCCTGCTGTTGCCCCCGCCGCCGCTTCTGCCCCCGCCGCCACTTCTGCCCCTGCCCCCGCTGCCGCTTCTACCCCCGCCCCCGCTTCTGCCCCCGCTGCCACTTCTGCCCCCGCTGCCGCCCCCGCTTCTGCCACCACTGCTCCCACCGCCACCATCGCCCCCGCTTCTGCCCCCGCCGCTGCTTCTGCCCCCGCCACTTCTGCCCCCGCCGCTGCTTCTGCCTTCCAGTCCTGCTGCATCCAGCTGCGCCATTTGCAGGAGGAGAGGTAGGCGCGAGGTGAGCGAGCTTCTCCCCCCCCCCGCAAAATTTGGCTGGAAAATAAACCGTGATAAAAAAACCGTGATAAAAAATAAATAATTTTTAATAAATAATTAATAATAAATAATAAAAACATCTCACTAACTTCATTTCCAAATAAATTTAATATGTTAACTATGTTTTCTATGGTTCTTTTGGATGATCAGGTATTGTTACTGTTATTTTATTTTATGTGCGGCCCAAACCAAATTTTCATCTTCTAATGTGGCCCACGCAAGGTGAAAGGTTGGACACCCCTGCCATAGACGAAAGACAACCACCGTCAGGTAACCAGACCACAGCTGCATCACCAGCTGCCACACACCCTGACCCCCAAACCAAGCAAACGGACACATGCCATGAACACATATCCAGGCCTCAAACTCAGAGCCAAACCAAAACCCGGAACGTCACATCACAGCCACCCACTCAGGATATCACATCACAGAACTCAGATGGTTACACCACAAAACCTCAGGATGTTGCAACACAGCCAATGACCCAGGAGATTACAGCACAAGACCCAGGATGTCACAACAATAGAACTCAGAATGTCATCACACAGCCCATGACCCAGGTCATTACGACCCCGAGATTACAACACAAGACCCAGGATGTCAAAACAATAGAACTCAGAAGGTCATCACAAAGCCCATTACCCAGGTCTTTACAACACAGGAGGCTGATAGACACACAACCAATACCTCAGCCACACATGTTCTTATGAAAAAGCCAGCCAATCTGCAAACATCAACTCCATCAACCAATCAAGAAATGACAACACAGCCAACCTCCCCACCAGTATATATAGGGAGACAGCAGCTCTGATCACGCTTTGCTCACACAAGCACAAAGCCGAATGCACCAGATTGAAGATGGCGAGTGGGACCTCATCGAAACGTTGCCAAGATGCTCTCAATCTTACACGGGAAAAGACCCAAATATACCAAGACCTGCATATATATACATACATATATACATACATACGCTATAGATAGATAGATAGATAGATAGATAAGATTAGATTAGATTAGATAGATTAGATAGATACTATGCTACATAATATAAAAAACTGTCCATCATCTGTACATAATATTCAGTATTCTAGTTCTACTGCTATTTTGAATTCAGTTCTGAAATGTAATAATTTGTCCTATTATAGATGCATAGTTGGGAAATTCTCTGTTAAGAATCAACAACTTCCAGCTGAATTAAAACTATACCAAAGCTGATTCTCTAAATTATAAAATACTTTGGGAGGGGGGGTAGTAAGTCAGCTCATAACATAGAAAAGAACAAGTGTGGAAGCTAATTGCCAAGATAGCATATACAATCAACCCTGTTTTTTCATTTTATTTGTGCAGGCATATTAAAAGGATATAGATATTAGGGCTACAACAGCCTTTAGAATATGCTACACTTAAAGGCTAGTTGGCTAAGATTCAAAGCATATTACCTTAAATTATTAAGTATTTTCCCTATAAAGGATGGTGTTTTTCAATTCAATAGAAAGAAAATTGAAAATGTGGATTAATGATTAACTGTAAAGTATATAGAGATAAAATAATTTTTCGAATTTGGGAGAGAGCTTTGTAAAATAAACATCAAATAGATCTCCCAAGGTTATAAGTGGTAGGAAAAATACAATAGTTTCATGAAATAGCGGTTTAACTTCAAGATTATACTGAATGTAAGTAGCAGGCAAATAAATTATATAGCTGTAATTTTAAAACAGTAGAGTATTAATGCTGAATACCAATGCATTATATTCTTCTGCCATGAGGAAATTCATTTTGCAAAATAATTCACATATTACAAATATATTTAATATTTATATCATTTAGTAAACATGTCATTTGAAATATAGATTTTGAACAAAAATTAGGATATGGTTAGCTATAATGTTGCTGGATACAATGAAGCACTGGAATTTAGGCTGTTGGGGTCAATTTTGCATGATCCGCAGTTTTTAAATTAAAGAAAAAAAGAAGGAATTTATTTAAAAATGTAAGCTTTTCAATTATTTCAAATAAATATACATTTGAAAATACTCAATATAGATTCAGAGTAATGGTCTATTCAATCCAGTAATGTGTATTTCAAATAAAAACAATTATCTAGCCTTCTGGTAGGCAACATTTTTTTTCTAATCTTTTTATGCTGAGATCTGAAGACAGAGATTGATCTTTATACAAATAAGCATGCAGACAATCACCCAACTGGAGAACTCTGAATAGCCATCTTTTCACTATATATAAGTTTTTACCTGTTCAAGGCTTGGATTTTCAGGCCCTCCTCAATGCTGTGGCTCAAAGCTTGCTGATTATTGTGCTTGCTGATCCTTGCTAAAACTCTCTCCTGGTGAGCTTCATATTCATCACGACTTGGGTAAATTTTACTGATAAGGGCATCAAAATTTGGATCTGGTCTCAAAGATCTTTTGGAAACAAGCTTTTTACGACAAGTAGGGCATTCTTTGTTTCTGAGAATAAATAAAAAGAATTCCAAAAATATGTTCTTACCTAATTCAAAAAGACTGTTTATATTTATCGAATTTTTGGCACATTTTTGCAATCTTTGCAATTTCTTTTGAAATATTTAGCTGTTAGTCAGACTGGCAACAGCCATTTGTTAATTTTGCATATCTCAGAATCCAAATCCTTGAAGATTAACTAATTTGTTATACTCCATACTGACATTATAAGGTTTGCACATAATTGACAAAGACATAGTAGGAAAAAAGCATGATGCAATATGGACTTCTATAGAATGATTTGATCAATGCTCACTGACCCTCATTGCTCTTAGTCCTGTACATTATTTAATGACAACTTTAACAATACAAGGAACCTCGTATTCTTTATCCACTTTTTGAAGGATGAAAAAAATAAATCATTACTTGGAGTCAGTGTATTAAACTGGATACAAATCTTGATTTGAACTCCAAATTGAAGTCCCAGCTTGGATATAAGATTCCCTGGATGACCTTGGATCAGTTATCGCTCCAGCAAACCTATCTCACAAGCCAATAAAAGAAAATATTTGGGGCTCAGAGTTGAAATGAGTGGTCCTTGGTGCTCCCTGAGCTTGGTTGTTTTCTTGAAGATGTTTCATTACCCAAGCTAGATAACATCATCAGTGCTGATTATGTTAACTAGTTTGGGTGATGAAATGAATACAATCAAACTCAGAGAGCACCAAGGTTAAGTAGGATAGCAAAAAATACTCATCCCATCCTGATTGCAAATTCTTGGGTCTTGAATGCAGCCAGCCATACAATAGGTGACAGGCGACAACGTCAGAAGAGAAAAAAGGCTAAAGTATGTTTATGTTGCTTTGTGGTAGAGCTGTGACAGCAACAAGCAGACTAGAGTCATCCTTCTGAGGTCAGTAAAATGAGGATCCAGATTTTGGGGGGCAATATGCTGACTTTGTAAACTGCTTAGAGAAGGCTGTAAAGCACTATGAAGAAATATATTAACCTAAATGCTATTGCTATTTCATTAAATGTTGGCAGCAATCTGCCTTTTTTAGCCTTTTCTATCCATCCAGCTTTCTTGTTGAAATAAGAAGCACCTAGTTTTTTTAATAATTACTCTTAAAATTTCCACCCCAAATCACATACTCCAGCATGGGGCAAAAAAACAGTGGCCTTATCCATATCTGAAACAGTCATGCATCATAGCCGTATCCCATGCAGTTTGAATTCCAAAAAGCCTTTTGAATCACTGGTTTACACTATAAACAGAATTCCAAGGTATAATTCAGCACTTTAACAGTGGTGGGTTTTTTGTTTTTGCTCAACCAACTTACCCACTTCGAAGGGCTGTGATAATGCAATCAGCACAAAATCGATGTAGACATTCCTTAGTAGTCATGGTATTTTTCAGCATATCCAAACAAATGGGACACATTAGCTCACTGTGAAGACTTCGGGGTGACACCACTATCTCCAGGCCATCTGTTATAGCTTCCTAACAATCAAAATAGCATTTTTCAAGAAATTATTTCTTTGCTCCATTGAAATTAATATTTACAAATGATATACATTTTTATTACTCTTATAATTGAATTACTTTTCTTACAACTAATTTCTTCTGGTACAAACTGTTTGTGGTTTGGAAGTTCACATTCAATACAATACGATACAAGCTACATATCACTATACAAAGATGAGAAGAAAGTAACTATAGTACCTGAGGTGTTCTTTGAAGTTCATATAAGCTGAGTTCCCATGTTTTGCTCAATGGTTGTGTGCCATTTGTTTGTACAGCTTGAGACATGGCTAAAAAAAATAGAATCACAATCATCATCATCATATATATATATATATATATATACACATACATACATACATACATACATATACATACATATATATGTTTTCTTAAGTTTTCGCGGGTACTTACATGTATGGCATTCAGCTTTGTTCGGGTATTTTCCCACGTCATTGTAGTTGTGCTTTTAACGTTGTAGCAACGTTTCGACAGAATCTCATCTGCCATCATCAAGCTTCTGTATAGGCTTCTGCCGAAACGTTGCTACATATTTTCCCCACAATTACCTTGTGAGGTGAGTTGGGCTGAGAGAGAAATACCAGCCCAAAATCACCAGGCAGTTTTCATAATTTTAATAAGCCATGTAGATTGAATATAAGCATAAGAATAGTTCTGCTAGAGCAGGATAAGAACCATTTTAGTGCAACATTTTGTTTCTTATAGTGATTGATGAAATATCTTTAGGGTGCTCTCAAGTAGGACACAGAGAATTACCACCACTGTTCACCTAAAACTGGTATCAAACTGGCTTCACACAGAGATAACAGTGTGTCTTAAAGCTTACTAGTTTTTAACTTGTTTTCCATGAATCTAGCCAACCACTTTCAAAGGCATTCAAGTTAGTGGCCATCACCATGTTTTGTGGTAATCAATTCAATTATTAGGTTAATTATACACAGTGTGAAGTACTATATTTTTCTTGGTCCCTTCCAAAACTCCTTTCAAGTTTCCATTGGTTCAATTAGTTTCCTTGGATGACTACATATCCTAAGGTTTTCAGACAATGTGAAAAATGTCTACTTCTTCTATACTATATACTTCAGACATGCCGAACACAAGGCCTGTGAGCCAGATCCAGCCCATGATGGGCCCAGATTTGGCCTGTGGAGCTGTCCTAGAGATGGCGAGGAAGCAGCCGCCACCGCTCCAGCAAACACACAGGGGTTCCGCAGCTGGTACAGTTGAGTCCAAGCACTGCGTCCACTGGCCTGGCCCGGCCCTCCAAACAGCAGGCAGAAACAGGGGGGGGGGGCGAAGGCATGTGATCTGGCCTGCTAGACTCCAGGCAGCCACCACTCACTCCATCCCAGTTTGTTTTTGCTTGTCCACAGCTGCCACAGCTGGGATGAGGCAGGCAGCTGCATGGCAAGCTGAATCTCATGACTCCCCCTGCACCTCTGCCTCTATCCCATTGTTTTTGTTTGCTGCATTAAGGATGGGGCAGGTGACTGCATGGCTCCCCTTGTGAATGCCACCCCCTGAGTCTATGCCTCCGCCTGCTGCTGTACCACTATGGGGCTTGACCCCCCCATCCAAATCTTCTCCTTCTCTGCCACACAACATGTGGGACAAGCTTCCTGCCCTACCCATGAGAGCCCCAACAAACAAGAAAGGCGGAGAGCCCCCATCCCCAAAAGGCAGCCAGGACTCCCCTCCCCATTCTGACCTGCCTGATTCCCTTCACAATTCTTTCTATTAAGAATACTTATACAGGACAAACTATTGTATTCAAAGTTCAAGGAAGACTGGGACTAAAGGCTTCCATAGATGGGTTGCAAAAATCTGGGTGCCTTCTAAATCAGGGATCCCCAACTCCAGACTGGTATCTGTCCCTGGCTATTTGGAACCGGGCTATGCAAGAGAGCAAAGCATCATCTATGCATGTGAGGAATTTAGATAGCACACAAAATTATCCTCTATCCCTGATACATGGAAAAACTGTGGTCCATGAAACTGGTCCCTGGTGCCAAAAAGGTTGGGGACCACCAATCTAGATGACAAGAAATACAGAATCTTCACTTTGCTGTCACATGGCCTTCTTGACTTCTTCATGCTAAGAAGCTTATTCTGAGTTCCCACTGATTTTTATAGTTGAAACACTTGAGACTGTTTCTGAATTTTCACAAAACATAAAACATCCAAGCTAGCTTCAGTTTTGTTCTATTGCACCAGGCGGATGGAACTTTCAGAATGAATGTTTTGTTTCAAGTTTGGAAAAAACCCATTTTCCATTTCATGGTCACTCCAATCTTAAATAATATATTTACTAAAATACAGAGACTGGTTAATACAATACTAAGCTTAAGCTAGCCAATCCTGCCATACCAGAGGTATAATTAATACGTGACTCTAACACATTTTTCCACTGTCCTTTTATTTTTAGAAGCAGATATTTTTGGTTTTTAAATATGATGCTTTCCAGATGTGACATCTTCAACTACCAGAATTCCCCATCAGCATAGCTACCGTTGAGAATTTTGAGTGAAACCCTCACAAGTAAGGATGAAATTGAGGTTGGAGACTATTTTATTGTTTTGTCACAAACTATTATTTTAAATATGTTACTGTAAGGCACAAGAATGTTATTATAAACCTCATGAAGTAGGAGGGACAATATTTTAGATTTATATTTAGTTTTTCTAAAAACTATAAAAATTGAAATCATACTGATTTTCCACATTTCAGGTACTTAAGCAGCAAAATGGGTGCATTAAATCTCTTCTTTCTTCTTGTGCCAAATCCATCATTGGACAGTGGCGATCATGTTGGCGATCCTATATTTATCAACAGTCACACAAAAAAGTGCTGCTGAGTTTTGTCTAAACCAGTCCCTTCAATTTTGAAGCCATGATGTTCTTCTTCTGCCTGGATCTTGTTTGCCTTCAATCTTTCCTTGGAGGATTAAGTGAAGTATGCCCTATTTTTCCGGGTGTCGTATCACATGTCCGAAATATTCTAACTTTTGCTTTTTAATGGTTTTGATGATTTCCTTTGGCTTTCCCAGGCAGCTTATCACCTCATTTCTCATTTTGTCAACCCAGCCTATACATAACAGCCACTGGTAAATCCATATCTCAAATGTTTCTAGTCTTTTCAGGTGACTTTCTGTCAGAGACCAAATGTCATGGTTCCAGAAAACCCCAACTCCATTAAAAACTCAGAGACAGACATTTTCTCAAAGTTTATTAGAGTAGGCATACTGGCACATCTGGGAAAACCCGAATCTGAAAGTTCCAGGTTTTCCTCCAATAAGTAAAAAATTACAAATCCACCCCCTGCACCCATCATTCCATCATCACATGCCCCTCACCGTCTGTTCCAACTTCCCCTCTACTCCTCCTCAGCCAGGTGCAGGAATAACATGACCTTGATTTAAAGAAGAATGCTATTATATCTAACCACATACACTCCATGAAATTCCCCCTCCCATCTTCCCATGCTCAAGAATGTGGCAGCATGGAAGCTTCTGGCACTAATATGGCTTCCAAAGCTGACACCAACTCTCTACTCTGTAGAGCAGGAGAGAAAAGATGTACATCTGACAAGCCTGATTTTCAATCTTAGGCTTATGTCGTGACCACAGAGACATTTTAAATCTCTATAATCCCAAATTAGAACAAAAAATTCCAACTCTGCTTTCTCCACCGATATCATTACATCACCATAATTTTTGTAGTCCTGAGGTAAGATAGCAACATAAAATGCTAGAGGTCAAAAATGATTGTCTACCCTTGGAAGGATACTTTGATTTCCACAATGGAAGAATGGCTGCAAAAGTTGATGAAGTTAGCAGAGATGGCTAAACCTTACTTTTATATGATAATATATACTAGCCATTTATGTAACAAACAATCAGTAAAATCCAAAACCAAAGTTTCATTTTTTTCCACCTCAAACATAAAGTTGAAAACAGTTTCCAAGTAAAAGCAAAATTAATTGCATTCTCTTTAATCAAACAATCAATTTTTAGCCATTTCTGCTAACTCCATCAACTTTTGCAGCCATTTGTCCATTTGGGGAATCAAAGTATCCTTCCATTTTTGGGCAAAAAGTATTCTTGCTGCTATCAACATATACACTATTAATACAATAATTTACATTTTTATGCACATACAGTCAATATATACATACTTCTATAGACAAGAACTTACATGTATAAATTTTTATCCTTTTTAAGCATTTATTTTGCATATAATAGACTTTTCAATAAACATTTTAATCAAAATCACTTATATTATAAAAATATTTGACTTCTCTTAATTCGTTCAAAAGAGATGATCATTCATCATTTCAACTTCAATGTCAACTTTTTTTTGCCCTTTCATTCAATGATGTCCAATTCTCACAGACTGCATAGACAAGTCCCTATAGCTTTTTTGAAAGGTTTTTCAGAAGTGGCTTGCCATTGTCGCTTCCTAAGGCTGAGAGAAAATGACTGGCTAAAGGTCATCCAGCTGCTTCATGGACAAGATGGGACTAGAACTCATGATCTCCCACTTTCTAACCTATTGTCTTAAATACTACATCAAGCTGGCTCTTCGACTTCTATTAGAGCACATAATTTCTTTGACTGTTTCTTTGCCTAATATAAAATAAGCTAAATGAACTATTTTCTATTTTTTATTTAAAACACTTTTTTTGGATAAGTAATTTTGCAGCAGATAATTTTCTTTGGAAGCAAATCAAATTGTGTAACAAATATTAAGAACATTCTATGTCTTGATTCCAAATTAAGACTCAAGGCCACCTTCTGTATCTCTAACCTTGAATTTTAGAGGGAATTATCAACTTTCTGAAAAGTCTACCCGCTGCAAATATCCCTTATCTATGTGTAGACTCTGACTGAAATAAGAATACATAAAATTGTGATTCATATATAGGTAATATGCAGGCTCTGTGGAACACAGATAATCCTGCTATGTTTTTGCACTATTAATACATTAAATTCTTGCGATGGTGGCAAATATCTGTAGCTCAGGTAGAGGATAAGGGTGGAGGTTCGTTCTCCTAGCCTGATAAGGAAACATTTGGAAACCAACCCACAAGCTAGGAGAATATACCTCCACCCACATTAAATTCTATCTAAATAAAATTGATGAAATCTTTTTTTCGGCAATATTGCTTTTAACTATTAAAGCATGCTGACCAATTATCAATCAAATATTTTCTAAATGTTATCATTTGACCATAGATTAACCTATGACAAAGTCAACAAATATTCAGTGAAACTAATACTATTGTAAACATAAGCATCTTTAAATCT